ACCATGGGATGACAAAGTGATAAAGGCAGCCCAGCCACCAGCTGAGAATTCCTCGGTCCCAGGCCAAGCAAGGCAAAGTGTCAGATGACCACCTCCACCATCACCCAGTCACTCATCCAACATCGAGAATGAGTATAAAATTCTAGCAATAACAAACAAAAGATTGGAACAGAAGATCTTCAGTGCTTCCTTGTATCCAATGACCACATACCCAGAACTATCTGTCATCTATGCAGAATGGGGTGTGACTGTTTCTACACAAAGAATCTCTTTTCAGTAATGATGAATGTATTGTTAAAAAACCTGGTTTTTCCCAGTTCACAGCGGTTTTTAAATGACTTTACATCTAGTCAAGTTGAGATTTTTAACTTTATTTTTAATATTTGTAAAACTTTTGAACTTGCTTATGTCAACAAAAAGATCAACAGGCTGCGAGCATCTATTAATGAAGGCTTAAATAATTAAAGAAAGAGGCACTGACTCTGTGCCTTCCATTTCCACCGGTCTCAGGGCCTCGGGTAAACCCATCTGATACCTTTGAGTAGAGCACATTTATCAAGTTCTAAATGGATCCCAGCAACCAAATCCTCATGTCAGCATGCTCCCTTGGCACTAATACAAACTCGGAAGAGACAGATTTAAATTCATGCTAATGTCAGCTGCATGTGGAGGCCAGCAGACACTTCTATTTCCCACGCCATTCTCCCAAGTCATTTATATCTCTCCAATTGGCTTTTAGAGAATTGTAGATGGCCTGGAAGAGGCTTTACAATAGGTTCTCCTTAAATAAAGCTCAACACCCTGCAGAGTGAACATGGAGAGTGCCTGATATAGATGTTTATAAGGAAGGAAATACACCATGGGACACCTCAAAGTTGCTTTTGGAGGGAATGTGATTTGGAATGAATGCAACCTGAGGTAAGCATTATAGACCAGCTTACTCTTTTAACCAAAACTTTCTCAGATGCATATGTAAAAACAATAAGTAGCCTGGCATGGTGGGGTACTCCTGTAATCCCGGCACCTGGGATGCCAACCTGGAAACATAGTAAGTTCAAGGCCAACCTAGACGGCATAGTGAGACCTTGTCTCAGAAAGCCAAGAAAATTGATTATAATCATAACCCAGAGAAACCATAAACTACTGAACTATCTTCTAAATTTTCAAACAAGAACAATGTGTAGTGTGGTTTTAGTTGCTGTTTTAATATATTTGAAGTCTTTGAAAACTCATATTCCACTTATTTATAATATATAATGCCAACATTTTGTTAACTAGACTATCTGGTAATTTTCCTATATAAATAAAATTTTGATTAAGAAAGAATTGACTGATCCCTGATTTCCCCTATGGGAAAAGGAGATGAAACTGACAGAAGTCTCTAAGCTTATCTCTGGCGATGGAGAAAATCACTGCTGTATAAATCTATTGGAGAAGTTTATAGGGCAGGAAGATGTTTTCACAGTAGAACATTTTTATGTCTTTATGAGGCACTTTTTTCAGTTTTTGTTCAGTCATTTCTTTAAACAGAGATGAATTAGTGAAGAACTGACTAATTTTACTACCTCAGACACTTCTGCCCTGCACAAAACTCAGTCTCATTTCTTAACCTCAAAGTCAGCTTTCAAATCATTCAAGCTGTCTCTGAAAAACAAAACCTTCCTTAGACCAAGCAGATTCTCTGACTAGGGATTCATTGAACTAAGCCAGACAATTAACAGTGAGAAATGAAATTGTAAGTAATGGTTTAAGGAGCAAGTGGAAAGTTGGCGGGGAAGTCATGACCGCCCAAATTCAAGTGAGGCTAGGAGGGTGGAAACTGAGCAAATAGAAGCTCTAATGGTGGGGTTATAAAATTAGATAAACTACAATTCATCTCTGCAGGGAAAATTTATAATTACTTTGATCTTCTTTAGGAGGCCCCACCTGCTAGGTAACAAAAGGAACAAAATTAAAGTCCTTCAAGCGGGCATGGTGGTATACGGTGCATGCCTGTAATCTCAGCACTTGGAGGCTGAGGCAGGAGGCTAGCTGCATGTTCAAGGCCAGTCTGGGCTACATAGTGAGTTCAAGGGCAGTCTGAACTATATAGTGAGACACTATCTCAAAAAACTAAAAATAAGTAAATAATACCTTAGCTACTTCAGTTCTTATCTTGAAGCTATAATTTTAATACTCTTTTGGGTGTGATTATGACATCTTTTAGAATTTCATTTCTTTGTCTGTTTTGACATGGCATTTGGAAATGCGGAGCAAACAGAGCTTAGGGGATATGGCTTTGAGGGGACAGAGGTCTAAGAGCCAAACAATCTACTTTCTCTCCTCTAGTCTCCACAGCCTTGGCTTTGAGCACCTGCTCACTACTGGCCCTGCTGGCACAGCTACAGTTGGCAGTTGGGTACCTCTATCTGGGCTTATGTGGGTGGGACAGGGGCAGGTGACCCTCCCTGGCTCACGCAATCCCACTCCATTGGGCTGATTGTAAAGATCTCTCCTAAAAGCCTGTGGTTTCCATTCATTCACCACAGCACTGCGCCCACCATGCTGAGAAATGGAGCTCCCCAAACTTCGTTTCCTCCACACTGAATCACCAGACAAACTAAAACATCAGAAAGTGTTTGTGTTCTACCGTGCAGCGCCAGCATGTTTACTTTGGTGCATTTGTCTGAGAGAGTGGCAGAAGGCAGTTGGGGAGTGACCACCTCCCAGAATCCCATGCATGGAGGATGGTAAAATCTTCATGCTCCTAAAGTACCCTGCGTTACCTGGGTGTTCCTGATACTGCTCATTGCCCTTGAAGTGCAGTGGGAGATAAGGGAACGCGACTCCTCCCATTGCTGCATTTCTCCTTTTTCCACCTTCAGACCGAAAGGGATATCTTGCCCATTGTCTCCGCTAGCAATGTAGATGTGCCCACCATTCCTAGCTGAACCTTGAGACTTAGCTCTGTTAAATAGGAGCATGGTCCCTGCACCCGAGGAAGAATCCTATCATCTGATTCATCCACCTTAGCTCCTGAAAATTAAAAAAGGATTTAGAAAACCCCAACCCTCCCTTATTCAAGCCTGATTTTTAAAACAGTTATTTTCTCATAGGATAAGAAATTTCAGGGTTTAGCCTTAGAGGTGGAAAGCTGCAAAGAATATGATCTGTATGCTAAGAAGTAAAAGAAAACAGATCAGCTTAATACTTGTGAAGAATTATCCTCCTTACATTATAGAAGAGAGTTGGGTCAGAGGGAGAGAACTGAGATGTGGGAGTGCAGCAGCGTATGCTGTGACTAATGGAGCGCAGAAATGGAGCACACAGACATCTGACTAGAGCCAGCTGGGTGTGGAAGCCTCCCCAGGGCCACTCTCCCCCAGGTCTCCGTTTGGTGGTTTGTTTATTTAGCATTTCTTGAGTTCCTATGTTTGTGTACAAATGTTTAATTACTTCACTTAACTTGAGTGCGTTTGTGCTCCATAAAGCCAAAATATGGGAAAAAACATAAGCACTGAAGAATCTCATATTTCACAGTGTATACCTTGTATGCCACTTAAGCTTGATTGTGTCATCTTGACTGGTTTGAGGGGCAGAGGCTTGGCGGAATACACTTTTGGTTGTGTCTGAGTGGTCACGGAGGCCTGACCTTGAGCACTAGATCTGGGCCCTTGCCCCTTCCTCTCTGGCTGCTCTGCTCCCCCCACAACCACCATGAGCTGAGCAGCTTTGTGTGCCACACTCTTCTGCCATGATATTCTTCCTTGGGGCTGGCTGAACATTACTGAACTCCCTGAAACTGTGACTTAAATATTTCCTCCTGTAAGTTGCGGATTTGGGGTATTATGTCCCAGAACAGGAAAGCTGACTACTACATCTGTGCACATGCTTATAACTGAATCCTATTATCTGCTTCCAAAAATTGCCTTTCACTCCATCCCTCCACATTACTGCACATTCCAGTTGCCACAGCACGGTGTACCGTGTCACCCTAGCTGGCTGGCCTGACTCCTCCTCACTGTTGTCCTGCAGTTCTTGTCCCTGTGGTCTTCCTAAAACTTCACTTTTGTTTGTTTGGTTTTTTTTTGTTTTTGTTTTTGTTTTTTTTTGGTTTTTCTCCGGTACCAGGAACCGAACTCACAACCTTGCACTTGCCAGGCAGGCGCTTTTGCGGCTGAGCTAAATCCCCAGCCCCTAAAACTTTACTTTTGCTGCTTCCACTTTGCTCAGAGACTTACACATTGCTCTTGTCCCTCCTCTCTGGCATACCAAGTTATGTTCACTTTATTGTGGTTTTCAGGTTCTGCCCATTTAAACAAATCCAATATCCCACTGCATGAAGCTTGCCGGTCCTTATGCTGGGCAGACTGACAGCCAAATGCCCTGTGTATCACGCAGTGCTGCCTGCACCTGCTGTCAAATTTTCTGCTTGCCCTGACGTGATTTTTGCCCTTCTCCACTGCTAATTTAAATCCAACCCATTGTTTTCCAAACCCATGTTGAGTCCAGCTTATTTTCTGGCATTCAGAGCTGCTAGTGACTTCAGGCCATAGCACACCACTTTAGAGTCTAAGCATATTCCATTTCTCAGTAATGGATACTATAAACAGCTGATACTCACTGAGAATTTCTTGTATGCCTAGTGCATTGCTAGGGTAGCTCATTTGGCCTTCACTCCACCCCTGTGAGGGGGGCACTATGATGTGCACACTGGGGAGGAGGAAAGTGGTTGAATTTCCTGAAGTCACACAGCTGACAAGGAGACAGAGCCAGCACTCATGCCAAGAATCAGATTCCAGAGGCTACACTTGTGGTGAACACGGCCTGTTAGCCCTAGAGAGTCACTGCTTCCAATGTTGAGTGTGTCATCTTCTTTGCTCACCTGGATAGTAACTTCTTATGGGGACAGGACATGACTTCTAGGTCCTTGGTATCCTCCTACTAGTGGTAGAGCTTCGTGTGACCTTTATCTCCTTCTAACTAGCCTTTCCCATGGAATTATCTTTTTTTTTTTTCAGATGTAAAGTGAAAAGGACTTCAAAGGTTTGCTCAGACTCTGTGGGATCTCCATGTTGTGTCTACCCGCCTCTCCTCCGCGAATGCGTTGTGGGCCCCTGGATAGCTAAGGTGCCACCTGCCAAAGGTAAGAGGCACTGCACTCTTTCAGGCAGATCTCACTCTCACTCCCCTCTCCCTCTTCCTCTTCTTTCTCCTCTTCCTCCTCCTCCTTCTCCCTACCTGCCAGGCCTGACTTTTGATGGCACAGGATTCTGGCTACCTCCTGATCCCCTTTTACAGGGCCAGTGTTGTCTATTCCTAAATCTTCTTTCAGACACCATTGCCAAGGGGGTTTCCGAGCAGGATGTGGCCTCTGGGGGCATCCTCAGGCCAGCTTCCTTGTGGCTGGGCATTCTGTCTAGTGCTGTATGGAGATCCCTAAGAGCTCTCATTAAAAACTACAAAACCCCTTTAGAGAAAACCAGGTACCCCAGCAAGAGCAAAAAAATATGTAGTTTGCAAACAGATTTTATACATTAGAACTTATACCTTCAAAGGAGATTTTCGCAAGAGGATATCTCTTCCTTCTGTCAGATGAGGAGCCACAAGCATTTAGCAGTGTCTAAAGATGTGATGAAAGGAGGCTTTGAACTTGTCAACATTTGGCTCTTCTGTGTGGAGTGGGTGTGGGAGCCTCCCAGGCTTGGGCCTGCGGGAAAAGGTTCAGCAGGGTCACTTTGCTGTGAGGAGACTTCAGGTGGAAATTGCTCATTTCCTCCAAGGCCTTTCCCTCAAGCAGTACGGCGCCTCCTTTCCTGGCCAGGGAGCAGAGCTGGCTCTCCAGTCTGTCTCCCTCTGCTACCCTCTCCCACTCACTGTCCTCCTTGGAAAGAAAAAAACAAAAGAACAAAAGACATTCAGGTTTCTCTTTTCTCAGAGCTCAAGTTTTTTGTTCTACCAAGATTTGTCTGCAGAGGGTAGAAGCAACTTAGTCCATGTTGACATAAGATCATCTGAGGTTCCTCTGAAAAGCTCCACTGTTTGTCTACATTTCTCCCCACAGCGGCCTGTTTAGGAAATCTAACAAAAACACTGTGAAATCCTGTTTGATCTCAGCCATTGTTCACTGCTAATTCCACAGGACAGGAAAACAGAGTTTGTTTGAAGACAGGGTAAGGTGGCTTTTGTGATCATGATAAACATCAAACACTTCCCTTCCAGACAGGTCAGGGGATGTTAGGGGATACGGGAGATGCTCTGGAGAGGAAGGGGTGGTTCTTTTCAAGCCTTCTTATGTTTGTTCTCCAACCAAACTGGAAGGGAACTGGAAGAACCGTGCGGGCCTAAATCAGTCAGCGCAGCAGCAGAGGGGACGGGTGCTCCACACAGAGGAGTTGACCCTTGCTTATTTCCTTGCCTGCTGCACCTGTGCCTATTTCAGAATGATCCTGGACCTGAGCTCTCATCTGCAGAGGAGAAATGAAGCAACATCATTTGACCTCAAACTCACTGCTGTAAGAAAACATGACTCTTGGAAATCCAGATTTACAAAAGTAAGATTAAATCAGGAATTAGCTAAGCTTTTCATCTCACTTGAGAAACATCAGAAAGGATGCTTCAAAATAGTATCTCCCATCCATGGGCACTTGGCTCTGAGTTTCAAGAATCAAATTCTTAGGAATCAGATCGTACAGAGCTTTAATGGGAATGGAGAGAAGCGAGGCTCATTAACTACATCTACGCATTTGAAGATGATGGGGAAGCCAAAATTCTCAGGACAGGAAAAGATTCACTAACTACCTGACCATTATATAATTAACTCCTGTTCAGTTGTAACTTCCTATGCCTGCTGGTGTCCAGTCTCTCACACTGCACCAATATCTTTGTTGGACACTCCCATGAGGTCAGTAATACAATGCAAATCAAATGCAAATTGATCACAACAAAGTGAAATTGCATACCATGCAATAGACGCAGGCTTTCATCTGAGTGGGAGAGGACATAATTTGAGCTTCACAGGAGTGATTTGAATATCAGAGAACTAAAAAAGGCCCTTGGGAAGATGAGCGAAGTCTTCTGTTTGATTTTGTTTTGTTTTATTTTTTGCAAAAAAAAAAAAAAGCCTTCTCAATGTCTTTAGCAAAGGTCAAATGTAGAGTAAAGGGAATCTTAAATTTTTGTCAAAATGTTGACCCAAAAGTCGACATTTGTTGTATTTTCTAACCCTAAAAAGTAGTCAGTGAATGCAATTATAATATAAACTCCTAGTAAATATAAGACAAATACTTATTTTTACATTTTTTCATTTTAATGATAAAGCCCCTTGATACGTTTAAATATCATTTATTATAAAATTTTGCTTCTTATTTTATTTCCACCTTAATTTTTTAAATAGCAATTATCTTTGGATAATGAGAACCACCTATAGTTCTATATCATTTTGTACATATAATATTTTATTTAATATTCATGGCTACTCAGACTGAGTAGCTATTAGCCCCACTTAACAGGTAAGAAAATCAAGGCCCTGGGAAGTGATCTGAACAGCACTAGAACGTGAATAATTATTAGCTTCAATTACACAAGCAACACAAGTATTGTTATCTTGTAAATAAGAGATGTCTCTAGGAGATTTAATGACTGACCCTTGGCCATATGTCTAGTAATATTAAACATTTTCCAGACTAAACTTTCTGACCACAGCTCATCCTATTGTTATATCCACCAGATATCTTTGTACATAAAAATAACAAAGCTGGCAAGTGTGGTGGCTCATGCCTGTAATCCCAGCACTTGGGAGACTGAGGCAGAGGGATCACTTCAAGTTCAAGGCCAAGTTGGGCTACAAAGGGAGTTCAAGGCCAACCTGAACTGCATAGTGATACCTGGTCTCAAAAAGACAAAAAAAAAAGCGTGATATAACTGATGTCATGAGCGCTAAAACTATTGCAGATGTATCCAACTTGCAGCCCACAGGCCACTTGCCCTCTTTTTTAAAATGTATAATAGCAAATATATTTTTAAAAACATTTTTGGTACATATTTTATATTATATATTTAATATGCACTCTAAAAGATTCCTCTTCACTCAATGTGGGCAGGCAAAACAAAGGTTGGACACGCCTGGCAGGGAATCTCTAGCACATTCTGGAAGCAGATTTGCTGCAGACTCCATTGGGAAGAAGCAAGAGACAGTTGCTGTTAGATTAAAGGATGTGTTTACTTCCTTCTAACTGAGTGCAACTGACACTTCAGTTGTGAGTACAGCAGACTTTATTCTTCTTCTTCAGTGATCCACTTGCCAAAAGAACTACAGTGACAGAACACTACGCAACTACAAACACAGGTACGATGAAAATAACACTCAGACATGGAAAACCAGAATTTATCCAGCACAATAAAGCTTAGTGGGTGCAGCAAGGCATATGTGACATCTATTTTCGTTAATGGATTTCTATTTCTGCCTTCTTTTTCCCTTTCTGCATTGATAATGCTAGACATACATAAGAAAATCTAGATAATGTATCCAGAAATTGGTAGTTTACTACTGATGCATTGATACAAACAATATAACTACGGCCATTATAATGTGAAGTGAGTTTTGAACAAATAGAGTTAGAAATCCAATTATCTTTCCATGGAAAGCTTTTGTGAGGCGTCATTGTTAAAAAAGTAGGGAAACAGTGGGAGACTCAGGACAGCAATTTCTCCTGCCTGCAAAAGGACACTGGAGAATTTCATCCTGCACATACATTAATCCCTTCATAATGGTCTCCCTCCTGCAGTTGGCCTACAAGGATCGTTTTTTAACTCCTGCTCTACTTCGGGTTACCAGAGTCTTCCTTTTGGAAGAGGAGCTGAAAGCCAGAAACATATGACTTGAATGAGAAATAAAACATGAAACACAGCACCTCCCACATAGGCAAATGGCTTCAAACTAACGTCTGAATGAAGGCATAATGCTCCTTCCCTGGCACCTCGGACCAGGGCCCTCAGGGTTCACCAAAGATGGCGAAAAATCAGAAATTCCTTGCAGTGGTTCTAATTTTTCTGGCCTTCTTTTGGCCTTAGCTCAGTGCTTCTCAGACTTGTATAGATGCAGGAATCATATCCAGATCTGGTTTAAAATGCAGATTCTGATTCATAAACTTGGAGTGAAATCTGAGATTCTGCATCTCTTGCCAATGCTGTTAGTTCATGTACTTTAGATAATAATAATCTAAATTAACCTAAGCCTTAGTACTGAGGCTTAACCTAAGTGTTAGTACTTCAAGTGTTCTGCTTTTTATTTTTTCAGCAATAACCATTAAAATTACAGTCAGGAGGGAGCTTAGAGAATCTCAGGTTTTTAGAAATCAGTGTGACTGGGGGAAAGTTATTGGGCCCCTTCCTACCTTATTTCTCATAAAACATGTGTTATGAGGATTAAATGAAATAATATTTATTATAGTACCTGATATTCTGAATTTGCTTCATAAACACTAACTAAAGCCATTTGGCTTCTCTGCTTCATCTTACAGGTGTGGAAATAAAACCTATTAAGAATCTTGCTCATAAGGGGCTGGGGATTTAGCTCAGCGGCAAAAGCGCCTGCCTGGCAAGCGCAAGGTCGTGAGTTCGGTTCCCGGTACCGGAGAAAAACCAAAAAAAAAAAAAAAAAAGAATCTTGCTCATGGGACACAGCTTTGCTAGTGCCAGAGGCTCAGCAGAAACACCACCTCTGACTTCTGGTGGAAAGCCCTCACTACCGCCCAGGGGTCCACTGCTTAGTCAGAGCCCATTACTAATTTGGCAAAGCTGACCCCAGCATACTCCCCAGTCCCTTTCCTGCCTCTGCCCCACAGAGCACCAGTGGCTGAAACCACACGCCCAAATGCTTTGCTATAGCTGGGCCTGACAGCTTAAGCCTTGTGCCACTAATTATGAAGATTACCCAAATAATTGATTTAATTGGGAACAGAGAATATCTCAGTGCAACCAGCCAAAATGGATTAGATATCCTCTGTGGAACGTGAGATCCCCGCAGCTCTCACAGGGAAAGCGTTTCCTCCCTGGGGAAGGTGATGGCTGCCCTGGTGGAACATACTGTATGCTCTTTGTCCCCAGGGATGAAGTGAAATCTTCACCAAGTATTGTACACGTACAACCCTCTCCTCATTTTTTATAGAAACCCTCAATACAACGTTGAATCCCCACACTTGACAGTGATGTTTCTGGGAGGTCAGAAAGCAAAGTAAAAAAAAAAATCTTTCCCAATGTGATTTTGTAAATGGGCATTAGCCACAGGCTGTTCCAGCTCAAGGGTGAACAATAGCATGAACTCCTTCTTTTATCTGCAGTAAAAAGAATGAAATGACTTTTTTCTACAGCGGTGTTGAGATATGAATAACTGAACTGGAAAAAATATTAGCTGTCTGTCTTCTGTTACTGCATAATACAAAATATATATCATTTCAACATCTGCCCAGTGAAAAATGACAAAAACACTAGCAAATGCATGCTACAAAATATCTTCATTTTGGTTGTCCTCATTACTGTTACAATCAAAATGGTCTCCTCAACCCAGTTCTTTAAGGTCAAGCATGTTCACATCTTCTTATTCTAAAGACACAATCCTGCTTTTTAAAAAGTCAATCCCACATCATTTTAACCTGTGTGGAATACTATTTTTCTGTGTCTACATGCATTGAAGTGGCCTTGGAAATCTGGCAGGTGGAAAGTCCGGGGAGAGAAGTCAGTCACAAAATACCAAAAACTGATTCAGTATTATACAAATACTAAATCACATGTACCAGTCAGTGTTTACTAGAGAAACAGATATAACACAAGATATGCAAATATATAAGAATTTAAGGGCCAGGGATATAGCTCAGTAGTACAGTGCCTGCCCGGCAAGCGCAAGTTCCTGAGTTCAATTCCTGACACCAAAAAAAGTAAAAGGAATTTACAAGATTGGCTTACAGTGGCTGCCCACAGAGTGAGATGTGGAAGAGCGCAAGGGTCTGTCTGCACACTGGAGACCCAAGGATCCGGTCAAAGCTCTGGAGCTCACTGCAGTGTCCCCTGCAAGCCCATATCAGGAACCTGATGGGTTTGTGATGGAAGGTTAAAGAATCTATGCTGGAAGACTGAAGGATCTGTGCTGCAAGCCAGGAGATGACGTCCAAGGTGAAAGTAAAGACTGGAGCTCCTCTGAAGAAGGAGAGGCAGCTCTGTCCTCCTTCATTTCCCTTTGTATCATCCAGGTGACAAGCTGCCCTAGTGGGTAGAGTTGCTTTAACAGGTTTAAGTTGACGCGGTCAATCAACCATCCTATCATATATTCAGAAGAGCTTCAAATTTAGAGACCTGCAAATGAGGTGGATCTGGACAATGGTGATGGCATAGAAGGCTATTGACATTCTAATTGGAGCTGAGGAAAAAGCAAACCAGAAGCAAGTTTAACCTTTGTGGACACGTTCTTGATGCCTTAATTTCTCTCAAAGGCCCTGTGATCCTGCCATCATAGAGCAGAACCAAGATGCTAATTGTGTCTTTGGCAACATTTATTATGTGATGAAATCAGATATTTCCCAATCTATTTACATTCAGTTATACCCCAGCCCCCATCTCCCCATTCCAAGTCCTCACCTCCAATACCTCCTAAGGTGACCTCATTTGGAAATAAGGTCTACAGATGTAATTAATTAAGGTGAGGTTGTGCTGAAGTAGGGGGGGCACTTAACCTGGTATGGCTGGTATCTTCTGATAAACATGACCTACTGTAGGCCATGCAAGAGGAAAGCTATGTAAAGACTCTGAGCTTTAAAGACAGAGAGAGAGAAGAGCATGTGAAAATGGAGGCAGAAACTGGAATGGTGCAGCTACAAGCCAAAGAGTGCCAGGGACTGCTGGGCACACCAGAAGCTAAGAGAGAGGCATGGACCAGGGTCTCCCTCCACCTGCTAATGTCTTAGTTTTGGACTTTTTTCTAGCCTTCAAAACGCTAAGATTATAAGCTACTGTTTCAAGCTACCCAGTTTGTGATACTTTACTACAATAGCCTTAGAAAATTAATATCTTTGTCCTTACAAGAATTGTTGTATTTCTATCCTTTATGTCAGGTTGGAGCCTGGTTGTCTCACCGATAAGAAAAAGAATCTGAGATTCAAGGAAATAAATTAGTTTGAAAACAGAAAACTTTCTTAGCTCCATACAGACCTCAAACTGAGCTGGTGGTCTACTGCAGTTGCATCAAGGAACACACTGAAGACCTCGGGGTCTCTGTGACTATCTGCCTGGTTCCTGTCAGTATGAAGAAAATGCCTTTGGATTTGGAAATGTGGGTTTTGACTGCGCCCCTTCAACTGTTCACCACTTTTTGATTCATTCAATGAATATTTATCTTCTGCCCACAGGGACAGGAAACTGACATGTTGAGAACTTAAAAGTAACTGGTCTTATCTTCCTCTGCCTTTCCATAAGCATTTATATTCACAGCATTGGTGTCACAATCTATATTTGATTGATTTGGGGGTTGTGCATCTCATACCAGCTTATGAACAGATCAGAACCAGCAAACTGTTCTGCTCAGTCTTTACATAAAATTGTACATTGACTACAGTTTACACAGGGAAATAGCTCTCCTCTCACACAGCACACAGTAGGCTCACACTAATGGGCTGATAGTGAATGCTGATGCTAAGAGCTCTGAACTGAGGTCAACTCCAATGCTGCTGTTGGCCTCAGCAGGGTTGTGTGTGAGGACCCATTAGTGACATCTCTGCCAAGCACATGCGGGCCTGCAGTAGTGAACGAGTTGTTTGCCAATTGTGTCCTCAGGCTCCAGTGGAAAGGCTTTAAATTTTACTTCAAAAAATCCTGGAAAACATAAAATGTAACTTGAGCAACAGAATATGTCACACTATGGATCTTGGAGAATGGCTTACAAGACTCCACTAACACTTTTTTCTAGTTCTTCTCTAATGATAATACACCTCATGTCATAGACTAAAGAAGGCACACTGAGTTTTTTCTTTTTAAGTAATTACTTCTACTCTCTATGCCTATGAACCTGGTTTCTTTTAAGGTGTAGGTTCAAGACTTGTCCACTGCCCAGGCAGCTCACATGGCAGGACTCACACCTCAGATCAGCAACAGCATCTTAAAGTGCTTGGTGATGTTTGACCAACTATTTAACACTGTTATTGTCCTTTCGAATTTATTAGTATAGGTTTGGGGTGAAATTGCCAGGTGGGTGTCACACGCAGCACTCTAAAGTCTGTAACCCCAGCACTCAGGAGGCTGAGGCAGGAGGATTGCCATGAGTTTGAGGCCAGCCTGGATTACATAGTGAGTTCAAGGTCATACCTAACTACCTAGCGAGACCATGTCTCAAACAAAAAAAAAATTAACTTCCTGGACATCCCCTATGCAAATAGCTTAGAATAACATCTGTTTGTCCCAGGAAAACCAGTTCCAACACCTGTGTATTTGAACAACTGTTTCCAATGTAAAATAAGAATATCTCTGAACCAAACAATCCCTTTCCTGGAGAGCTACATGCTTTTTATATAGTATTAAAAAGTCTGGCAGATCAAGTGTCATTGACCAATGGATTAGTTAAATTCCTTGGCTATGAGAAACCCGTCACACCCATACATGAGTCCCGGAGACTCCCACTGCTCAGTCTGTGCCTCTGGTGGTAGGATATGGTGCCTGAATGAAAATCCACCAAGAAATTATAAAATAGAGGAGCTCCTCAAGCACAATAAGGATGGGAGAGTGTACTGATCAACAACCTTGCACATCAGAGTCCACGTCTAGGTCCTGGTCCTGTAAATCCAGGCACCCCAGCTTCTTATCACTCTATGTGTCCTCAGCACTGCACCTGAAAAGCGCAGTCTTTCAATAAATCCTGATCAAACGCAGAGGAGTCACAGGTTAAAGAGCTCTTCGAGTCTCTGCCTCACCCTTCCCAGACCTCCATCTGATGCTGGGCTGGAGGTGGCCGCTACCCCAGCACTCTGAGCTTCCGCTTCCTCTCTCCAGGCAGAGACGGGTTCCTCGAACTTGCCCAATCTGCCTTGGTGCAGGACTATCCGTGGGTGGCTGGGCGTTCCCCAGGCTGGGCTGACAAGGCTGGACTTTTCCCAGTGACCTCCACTTCAGGTTGAAGGAGAATCCTAGGGCTGGCTTAAGTAAGCTGCTCCTTAGATAAAGGCAGAGCCGGACAGTGCCCTGCGACAGGGAAGTAGACTCGATGCACCGCGGTGTGGGGCTTCCCAGTCTCTTCCTTGTCAGTTCCCATGCACCTAAGTTTATAAGACAAGTTCCTAGAATCCTCAGGCACAGACAAACCTCACTTTCTCTGGGTGGAAATGGACTTCTCTCTCCAGTTCCAGACTCCTCTGAGGCACCGCCACAATGCAAGGGTGTAAGTGGGGTGCTGAATGCTAGGCTGGTTTGAAGAGAGCTCACTGGCTCATCCAACCAGGCTCCCTACATGTCTCAGCACTCACTGACACTTGCTAGACAATTGCCTTCTCTCTGGAAGGGCCTGAGC